TTTGATTTTTTACTATGAAATGCGCATCATTTTTAATTTTTAAGGCGTGACAGTTTTGGATTCACAAGATCTATATGCGTAACATCGAGTTGTCCCCCCCATTTATTTACTTACCCCTAGCTATTACGTACCTTATATATGCATTTTATTTTGTAACACGATCTCTTACCTGGAAGCGTACCTTGATGGAAATTTCCCGACACAAAAACCCTCATATATGATCTAGCTATCGAAGTATTAATTTTTGATTTAAATTTTTCTAAATGCTTATTGTAAGAGGCGACAAAAACCCTTACCTGAGATATATATCTAGTCGAATGTAGCAATCTCTCTTCTTCAGAAATTACTACTTAACTAGATGATATTGTCTTAGTACCTTAGGCTTGCTTTATTAAAAGATTTATAACGATTATGCATATTCAATGATTGCTAGAGATTTATTTTTCAGTTCTTTTTTATGCGGAGTAGTAGGGACCTTCATTTTAGCCTCAAAATTTCGTTTATGTTCTAGAAAATCAATTTCATTCATGCTTTCGCGCTCTTTTTTCTTTTTTTCTCTCGAGTTCGAAAAAAAAGTGATACTCCAAGGTATATTTAACTAATTCTCATTAATTATTTTTTTCAAATAATATAAATAAAAGGCATATTCTATAGCACTATTTATATCTAAAGAAATCGATTCTTCATCACTTTGAAGAAATTTTATAAGCTTTGTTTTTACGTCATTTTCAATTTTTTGCCAATTTGGATTGATATTATCTTGAGAACTCATTTTGTATAATAACTGTTTCATATAATTTTTAAGAATTAATAAATTTATTTAACTTCTATTTTTTCTTCATTATCTGACGATCCACATATCCCGCAATCGCTCATTTTTTCTCTCCAACCCCCATATGCGTCTCACGAACCATATAACTGCGATAATTAATAGAATAAGACAAATATATGCTGATAGCTGTGACATCAAAGTTCTTGCCACAATGGGAATTGTTCCTATTCCTCCTATCGGAGGAGACAAAGCCTCGGGACTAGGTCCCATCTGGGTATTCGATTCAATCAAAGAGGACATATTATTTTCCGGCTGTGCAAGGTAAGGAGTCATATTCGGTATTTCCTGAAGTGTATTGTTGTTAGTTTTGCTAATATCGATTTCGTCACTTACCTCGGGAATAATCTCTGTATCTACTCTTGGAGATGAGGCATAGCCTCAAATTACTGATTCCTCAGGTATAGAAGTTCTTTCATTATCAGTGTTATCTGGTATAATAGCAGAGCTAGTGTCAGTGGCAAAGCCACGAGTCTTCGACTCAAGACACATGGTATCGATTTTTCCAGCTTGATCCATATTTTTTTTACGTATAAAATATTGACTGAGATTTTTGATAGGTTCACTAATTGCAGATATATCGTCAGACTTGGTTATGGAACTTTGTTCATTGCTCTGCATATTTTTTTCATCGTTTCCACCAAGTACGGGCTTTGATATACCCTCCGATTTCAGACAATCAAGTTCACTGACTTTTGAAGCTAACTCATGTTCTACTTCAGCTATTTTAGACTTGAGGGATAATATCTCAGATTCTTTTTTCAATGAGTCATTTTGAATCGAAATCACATCTTTCTGGGCTGAAGTCAACTTACTTTTCAATATCTTGATCACAGACTCGAGTGATTTGATTTTCTTGGATTTTGTAACATTCTCAGCCTTGGATTCAGCAAGAGAAAGATCTTTACGAATATTCTCAGAGGTAAGGTTAGTATTTTCAATTTTCAACCGCTTAGTCTCACCAATAAGTTCTGAAGCGTGGGTATGTAACTCCTGTTTATCACTATTAACATTATCAAAAGCACTTTCCCATTGCTTTCTTTCCCGATCAAAATCCTTCACTTGTTTAGAGTATTTATTCTGTAATTTCTTGCTAAGATCATTGACTTCGGTTTTAGATTTGAGAGCAGTATATAACTTGTTTTCCAGCTCTTCCTCATACATACTACCAAGTCGATGACCTTTATTGATATCTCGTAATGTACGCACATTGGTCATATTAAATAATAAGTACTTTATTAAAAAAACATCTTTCAAAAATCAATAGGTATCAATATAATAATATCAATATATATATATATCAATACATATCAATACATATCAATACTTAGATATAATAATATCAATATATATCAATACATATCGATACTTAGATATAATAATATCAATATATATCAATACATATCAATATATATCAATACATGTCAATAAGATTCAATACATATCAATAAATATTGAAAAAATATCGATGTTTTTTTTTTTCTAAAATACATATTAACATAAAAATGGTTACTCGCCTTCATCAAACTTTCTATCGATCCAATGCAACCCAATTATCAGAGTCTGATATTAAGGAAATCAGAGATTCAAGAGGAAAAGTACCAAGTGCATCAAAGAAAATGGCAGAAAAATTTCATATTGGTACTCGTCGTGTATATGAAATATGGAAGTATACTGAACGTCTTCAACAAGATCTTAAACATGCCAGCTTTTCAGCTGATGAATCACAAGATATAGAAGCTTCAGTTATAAAATCGTCAATAAAAAAGAAAAGTTCCAAATCTCGGACTAAATCTGTATTATGTAATAATGAGCTCCGTTCTCATATATCTGATTCAATACCTACTAATAACTCTACAGAAAAAATAAGTAGTGAGGATCTGGGCGCATTATATGAAAAAGAAGCCAGAAGAGATGAGAAAAATAAAGCAAATATGACTCGCCTATTAGCTACTACTAATCTATAATATTATCTCTGGTAGAGATATGTTCGAGTAGCTTTTCATAACGCATTTGCAACTTTTCACAAAGATCATTTATTTCAACCTTAGACTTGAGAGTAGTATATAGCGATTTTTCTAACTCCTCATAGCTCATGCGTTTTTTTTTAACTCTGTATCTGTATCTTCAGAAATAGATGAAATTGCATTAACATGATGTACCTCAAGCTTATTTTCTACCTTGTGCATCGTAACTGGAATGTAAAAATCTTTTCCATTGCAATGAAGCTTCATTTCGGATTTAGGCCAATTCATTATACATTCATGTTTTTCAAGGAAGGGATTACTCAATATAACCATAGACTT